CCAAAAGGTGATTGCCGGTTGATTTAACTTCCTTCTCACCTGCATGAAACAAACAGGAGGAACAGAAGGAAGATTCGCCACTTTTGTGGGGCATAACAAGGAGGACCTTGATAGGAGAGTGTTGAGTCTGGTTACCTCTTGCAGTTATTGTAGTGCGGAACCGTGAGCAACTCCTCACACTTCTCTACCGTTGCGAACTTTGCCAGCTCACTGAGGGAATTAATTTCCGCGTCGCCGAGCTTCCTTATGTCTAAACTGGATGGTTTTCCATTCAGGTGAGTAGTGGAGGGCTCGGCCCGCTAGATGGTGGAGGTACTTTGTCTACTCCTCGTCGTCTTCGCCCACTTTTTGGTAGTGATGGAGGAACTCTCTGGCAAATATCTTCTGACTAGTTGAGCTAGGCTAACGCATCATTCTTCCACCTCAGGTGTTTGGGTTTATCCCGACCTCTAGGGCGGCTGCGAAGAGGTTCTTAGGGAGGGTGCATGGGGTCTCCCAGTTAGAATAGCTGGCCATCACAACTATTTAAATGGTAGAGAAATCAAGAATTTGAAAGACTGCGCGTGTCCTTTGCGTGTGAAACCGGGCCGACTGCGGTAGAAAAACGGACTGTCTCTTCCAGAGAGTAGAGTTTGTTTGATGTCAGTCCAGGTGATGGTGGTGCGACAAAGATAATGTTTTATTTACAGGCTGCCAATTAGCCGGCAACGTGAGAGAAAGGGGAATACTGAGAGATGAAAGAGAAACACCGAGAAAAGAATGCAAATATGGAATGAAAAGAGGGAGCAGGAGCGGGAGCAGATACAAGGGGAGGATGGATGGGTAGATCCCATCTCGATGCCTCTTTGAAGGTAGCTCTCCCCTAATTTTTCATGACCCGAGAGGATGCACCTTAAATGAGAGAAATAAGCGGCAAAATTGCAACGGCACATGCAAAATGGTAGAATACTTTTAAGTTGTGGAAACATTTCTCTTCTAAATAATTTATTCATTTGCTGAGAAATTTTTGGGCCTTGCATCAGAGTAGAGATAAAATAAGATTGTTGGCAGTGAGACTCCTCAGGGGGTTGGGAAAGAAGTCACCATCTCATAAAGTGAGGAAACAGCCAAACAAGGGGAAAGGCAAAGAGGTGGATGGAGGGATAGATGTGGGGGTGTTGTGACACTCTTTGTGGACAGCACATTTGGCTCACTCAAAACAGACTGAAGTCAGATCGCCGTCTCAGTTGGGTATTTCATATCATCTCTCCTCAATAAGCTCTTTCCGAACCTCCTGATGATGTTGTTGATGATGTCCTGATTTTCTCGGAGTGTCAAAGTGGCATTCGAGGATTATGACTACTGAGAATTGACTAGTGAAAGGGACATTTAGATATCTAGTATTTCTTTCACCAGAAACCACATCCGAACTAGATTGTCATCCTCTCTAGACACCTCGTGGCATATTTTACATACCGGAGGATTTCAACATCCTACTCTACGTTCTTCCTCAAATCGGAGAGGATGATGGTTGTTTTCATGCTCACGACAGTAGACACAACAGCTGAGGTCGAGGGTAATTTGACCTGCTTTATTCTTTCCGGCTACTTGGGTTATAATTAGTATAGTGAGGAGTCTCGTCAACCATTCGTCGATGCTACAGCCTCTATTTCACTTGTGGATGATGACTTCTCTAGTGGTCTTGTAGACCTCCACACCCTATCTACTCTAATTTCAAGGTCAAGTTATTCTCTGTCTTCTACGCCCTTTGCTCTCAAGGACTAAATCCCATGTTTTTGACTTCTCTCCACACATCCTCTCGAGAATGACAATGACATGTGAAATGTGGAACGAATGTTTACGCTATCATCTCGCACCAGTGACAGTGACAGTGAAATGTAATAAAATGGAGTATGTGAGAAAGTATTCTTTCTCATATCGCATCATCTGCAATGGAAACTTGAGAATAACCATGTAGTGCAGTTAAAGCTTAAACATCTCCAAGTTGTTGTCTCCTTTGGTTAAGGTGACTTGATAAACTTGGCGTCTGAATTAGCCCTAGGGTATGTCCCTCAGACACTGAGGTGGCATTTTTTAAATATACGGAATGTGTATGAGGTTAGGAACGTGTAGATCAGGCGTGACGTAAGTAGACCCTAACACCACCGAATCGGAGGAGAATGGAACAGCGGGGTGGTCCCGTATCCCATTAAAACAGACAATAGGAAGGGCTGACACCTCACTTGGAAGGGCTAATATTCACGAATGGCAAGTCAGTGAATACTACAATGAAATTAGGGAAAGATAGATATACCAATTTGATTTCTTCGCCTAAATATTGAATTTTCACCTCGGTTGCCTGAACGACGTGTCTAGTACTCGTAATGACACCCGTGGTAGGAATATTTATTGGACAACTTATGATAGTAAATTTAGGATGTCAATGCTATTTTGGTGAATCAACCCACAAACTAAAAACTCAGTAACTCAGTGGAAGACTTGAAAATCCATTATGAAGTTGCCGCACTGTTGACAGAATCTGTTTGACAAGCATCCTTTCAATCTCCTACTTCCTATGTAAAATTTGTACACTGAATAAGGCATCTTGAAATAAATAGCAGTATATTACTGCAAATTTGATAAAATCTTACGAAAATGACTCGAAAACTTGTTTTTATTTGCAACAATTTATTGGTAAACATGCCCACCATTGCCCTTTAAATCAACTAATTGACCAAACCTGTAACACCTTCATGCTGCAATTGGTCAGCTGTGGATTGTCAATCAGCGTGAGAACATGCGCGCGCACGATCCCCATTCGTTGGTCTCAGCCAATCGGTTACCGCTCACGCGTCGGCTTTTCTATTGGCTGCAAGAGCTTATATAAAGGAAACTGACACTGACAGCAGGCAATCTAGCGACTGCTACCAGCCTCTCGCAATGTCGCGACCGGTAAGCTTGATGACCATGTGGACTGGCATGTTTATTTTTCTGCTCTAATTTGGCGTTTGAGTTGATATGGAGCTGTGAGTCGCAAAAATAAGAGTATCTAAAGAGATTCATGGAATGAAATGCAGACGCTTAGTTCTTCCTATTTTGCAAACACTCTGTGGCACATTTTTTGCACAGAACGAGTTTTATTGGCAATTTACTTTTTCCTCAGCCTCATGGATAAGCTATGGCTTGTAAGTTTGTTCTAGTTCTAAAATTTGGACTGCGACTTTTAAACATTGACTCAGAGGCTTATTTAACTTTCTTTACTATTCTTCGTGCTTATAAGGGATTGTTTTTGAAAAATGGGTTTTCGTCTTTTGGTACATAGGCAGGTAGACCTGAACGCCTAGGATTTTACATGACAGTCATTTTTAGAGAAAACGTCTAATTGGTTTTGCATTTGAAATTTTGCCTGCTTTAGTCGCGTTTAAAATAAGTGCTTTCTTACGCTTTTTATGACTTGTGATAGAATCTATAAACACAGCTGTCTTTGTTTAAATTGACCTTGAAAAGACCTCGGCTCTTCAAGGCATAAAATATGTAACAGGTTCGCGTTTCCTCCGTGTTCTATGTGCGCCTTCTCTTTGAAATTTTGTCTTGGAAGAAATCAAACATCATTGCTGAAAGTTTAAAAATTGTGGTTGATTTCTATTGGACGATTCCAACTTTTGTTCACTTCCTAAATACCTTTTCGCTCGTGGGTAGGATCTTATATTGCCTATTCTACATTCTTGATCTGCGTGATATCTGAGGAAAATGGATTAAAGTTGATTGTTTCTTGTATCGGCAAATAATTTTAAATGCATTTTTGTTTTGAACAGAATGGACAGTGAGAACTGCTTCGGCCATTTAATGCGCCCTTTCGGGTGTTCATTCATAGCCTTTGAACTGTTTTCCCAGATGATAAAGAGTGCCTTGAACGGTTTATTTCTTTTATTTTGCCTTGTGTGAGCGGAGGACCTCCATGCTTCTGTCTTGTATTTCCAAAATTAAAAATTTTTTGGGGAAATAATAGGGAAGCTGATCCTACAGAAGGGCAATTTTCCCTTGTTTTCATTCAGCTTCGAATTTAACGGAATCGCAATTTGCTAGAAAAATAACAATTTTTAGTCATTTCGTGTACTTCATCTGGTTTTACTTCCTCCCAATTTCATCACTAATGCTTTCTACATTCTTGAAACTGGTCATACATCATTTTCCCGTATTTTGTAAAAAATTACTGCGCCTTTTTACCTGAAGGTTGGATGAAGGAGGGACTCACAGACTGAATAATGGGGCTTTTCATCGACCATTAGTTAAAGAATAACCTTTGGGACCTAATTTAGTTGTTTGTTTGCTTTTATTCTTCAAAACGATAAGCTGGTTTTCGGACTAAAGAACTGCTTTCCTTGGTTCCGCTTCGGTGGTTTATCCTTTCCTCAGGTCATTGTGAATGCAGGAGCTATTGAATGTAAGTAGGTCATTAAGCAGAGGGAAAACAAACAGTTCTATTACTTAATGAAAGTAGAATCTATTCCACCCTGAGTTGAGGCATTATGTTTTTTTAGCGGTCGAGAGCTCCTCCCAGATACCCAACAAAAGCCCCAAGGTTGACTGCAAAAGTAAATTTGACCGGTCTTTTTCCATGAAAGTGTGCATGTCTTTTGTAAATTGGAAGTCTTCAAAGTTTATCAAGTGCAGCTCCAAATACCCCATGATAGTGACCTGGGGAAAGAAGTTTGTAGAGCCCAAATTGGATGTTGCTCAGATCCCTTTTATGGCAACAAATTGCGGTTATGTTTAATCCCTTGACTACAAGTCTCCATGCTTTTATTATTTAACCAACTTTTTCGTCTAGTTCCGGCAAAGCTTTTAATCTGTTGCATTGTGCTTGACAGGAGAAAGCGATTTTAGATCGAATTTCGTCTTAAAGTTTGCTCGAATTGGGGATGATTAGTGAGTTTAACTATCTCTAGACCTGCATTTTGGTTAATGGAGGCCTCCAACTGCGCGTTAAACTGCCAAAAAAAACCCTCAGTACTGAGTAATCCCCAAAACCTTGTAAGTCCTGCCAGCCCGAAAGAACGCAGTCTGCCGACACATAGGGATTGGTCTGCGGGGCTGTAGGCATGGATAAAAAGCCGTTTTACCAACTGAGATACCGAATGCGTGGAGATTAAAGGGTCAACGTAGGTAAACACATAGCCTAGTCAATTTCCCTTTCTTCTGCTTTAGCGTGCAATAGCCCCACCACCTCCAAACCGTCCACTGCCACCGATCCCTACAGCAGAGGAGGAAGCGGCGGCAGCAGCTTTGCAACACCGACGGCCTTCAGTGACCAAGACAGCAACAACGGTAAATGCAACCATTATGAGTTCCACTACAAAGACATCACAAAATCGTCGCGTGGTCCCACGAATGGGCACTCGCAGTCATCCGCGTGGAAGCCAGCCTTCAACCTCCACTATCTGTGATGTCAACGAACAAGTTACCGTCTCCCTTCTATCATCTTCTTCGCCATCTTCCTCCTCTTCCTCCTCATCTGGCTGTGAAGATGCCATAATTGGTAGGTTTTGAAGGGGCATTTGGCCTAGATAACCTAGTCTAAAGAGCGTCAGCTCTAAGTCTAGACGTTCGACACGCAAATCCCTTCGCCAATATTCCGTCTAGGTAATTGGGTTTAATTTTGGGCATGAAAAGTATCGTCTTTAGTAACCCTTCCTCGTCCTTTTGCAGAATCTCGTCAAAGGTCATCAGACGACTATATGAAAATCACCTCGCAGTCCTGCCTCATCAATTTGGAGGCAGGTTATCAGGATTCCGACGATGGCTACACCTCATTGAATGCGTTGGATAGTCTAAAGGATCCACACCACCACCATCATCGTCACAATCATCAGCCTTCGCGTAATCCCATTCAGACGGAGAAGACTTCCAAAACCCAGGAATCCAGACGTCCGCACTCCATCGCTTCCTCACTTACCTCATCGTCCTCCTTCGATGACGAAAGCACTCTCGTCTGCACATATGGTAAGGACTCAGACCTCCCGCTGGATGGGATGTACCGTCTGAAGGTTAAATCAACCACGTCCACCACCGCCGCCATCCAGTTCCACGGGAACAAACGTCTGGTACGCAAGTATCGAATGAAACGGCGGGAGGGTGTGGAGGCACCTCCAAAAACTGTTTCTTTGGACCGAGAGCAGAAGAAACATTACCATCAACAGGATAGACTAAGACGTGGAGGAGGGGGCGGGTGCAGCTCTCCCTGTCGTTTGGTCACCATGTTGGTTGTCTAAGTGACGGCAACGACGACGGCGACGACGAGGAGGACAAGGAAAGTTACATTTTCGCTTATGTACATATGACGGTATTTTTTCATCCGATAGTCTATAAACCTATTTATGTCAACATCACGACACCTCTTCGCTGTGAAGGGATTGGGGTGGACGGGAGTGGTTATTCATCTGGAGTTAATGTCTACCCCCCGCTGCTCTGACATCTGGTCGGGATGACCAGACGTCTAGACACATGTACACCACTTTGTCATCACTGCGATAGGCTTGTCGAGCGTTGCTATTAAGCTAAGGAGGGCATAAATTATGTGGAAGAGAAGAGCTGGAAGCAAATGACTTCCGTCGATTCGGAAGTTCTTCTAGGCTGTGATGCTTCCGGACTGACGCACCACCCCAGCGGCAGAAACAGGTTGGCATTTAAGAGCCGCATTGAGTTTCGTGGGCTTCGATAACGTTCGCCACTGAGTAGTTCCCTTCAGAATCGCTAAAGATTTTGCGGAAGCATCCGAGCCATGCAACAAGGTATTCCTGTTTTGGAAGGATGACGGGGCCGCACAACATTAACTTGGAAGTCGAATCAGAGGGGACTGTGGAGGTTCACGTAGTCAATACGTTCGATAACTAGATGGCTCTCTTTCCTAGAACGTTGTTCTCAACGCTTCTCGTGAATGCTTGACCTCTTTGGCCGTGGAAGATCTTCCAGTGGATAGGGAAGTTCGAACCGCGGGGAGTGATTCACCGCGATTGTGCGATGTTGACGCCTAGACTATGTTCGACAATGAGCAGTTGCCCCAATTTTAACTTGAAGAGGTGTCACCTGGCATTTGGATTAGTTTTATAGCTTGCCACTCCGTCGAAGTGATAGGCAAAAGTCGACTCGGTTTCCATAGCCTTCAGGTGTGAGGCTTTCCAGATTCAGGCACTCCCAGACGACACCTTCTCTCGAAATTATTTTTCCTTGTGGGTGAGCTTCCTCATTTCTGAAGGCATATCAGTCTGAGAGAACCTCAATTACAACCTCATGGAAGAGTTACAGCCCTGCCGACATGCCGTCAGCCACGGCGTCAAAATGTATTAGCCGAGGAAAAGCGTCTAATCCTCAGGATGGATGAGGTCCATCAAAATTAACAAGATATACCGTTCTACATCTCGTCAAGGTGGGGGATGTCCAGTCTCCACGCGTCAATTTCATTATCTTCGCCCTGTCCACTAAGCATGGTGTTCTGTCAGACACGTGTGTCTGACAGCGTCCCTAGGGGTCCTGTCAACCGCTCCATTCATTCAAGTACTGCATTCAAAGGAGGGAATAACTTGAAGATGTTCAAGTCATAACTGCATCACTTGTTTACTCTCCAATTCCCTTGTCACTGTCATTGACAAGGTGATAGCGTAAACATTCCTTCCACATTTCACACGTCATTGTCATTCTAGGGGGGGTTGTGTGAAGAGGAGTCTACAACATGGGAGTTAGCCCCCCAGAGCGGGGGGCATAGGAGTCAGTGAAGAGTGTCAGTGGGGAGGGTACAGAGGTCCACAAGGGGTATAAATGAAGTCACCATCCACTTGCATCGTCGAGTGGTTGACGAGACCCCATACTATACTACTTATAACCAAAGTAGTTAAAGCTACTCAAGTAGGCTGGATTACTCCCGCCTTCAACTGATGTGTGGAGGGTGTGTGAAGGTGGGGGGACTGTGGATGGCATATCCAAGTCCTCTGCTGGGCAGGACATACACCACAAGGTGAATAAAGTGGGCGGAAGAGACCAGTGTGGATGCGATTCCCGGTGGGAGAAACCAGAGGATGTCCGAGTCTTTCCTTCACTAGTCACTCTGCAGACCCACTGAGAAGGATCAAATCATCATCGTCATCGTCAGGAGGAGGTGGAGAGACTGTTGAGGAGAGATGAAATGGAAGAGTGAACAACTGGGATTGCGTTCGTCCTTAATCTGTTCTAAATGAGCCAAACGTACCCTCTGGGAGATTGCCACAACACCTCCCCATCCCTCTGCCTCCCTGTTCCACTATCTGCCTGATCTTCTGCTTCCAGACTTAATATGGCGGAGGGTAATAGTTGGGAAGAATCCCAGACAGTCGCCCGATTCCTTTTTTCTTTAATTTCCCCCACCCCCTTCATCCATCCTTCATTCCTTCCCTCCCTATAACAAATTATTAAACAGTTCACCTTAAAATCACTATGATTTCCCTCCAATCAATCAAAAATGACTGCCGATAACCACTTGATAGTTATCTGTCAACCACGACGGTAATGTCTACTTTCGATCAGTAAATTTTTTGAGTCCCGCAGCTAGGAAGAACAGCCCACTTTACACCTATTGTGATGTACACCTCTTCAGACCCTCCATTATGATCGTCACTTCTGACAGATGTCAGTGCTGTCCCCGGTAACCTTTGACGCTGTTATTTAACTCAATATCGATGTCATTTGGACGGATGCCAAGGTACCGGCGGGTCTCACAATTTGGACGTTACTAAGTCCACCACCTTGACATCACGACATTTGCCATCAACAATTGCACTCAAATCCGATCCTGGTGTTAACTAACTTGTAAGTTGAGATAAAAGAGTTTCCACCTTGAAGGAAGTGATTCATCGAGTTGAAAGTGTCCAGGAAGAGCCGATTTCGCCGTACCATCGGATTTTCGACACCGCGGACAGAGTTCACTTTGCCTCCCGACAACAAAACCAAAGCAGCATAGCCCAGAAACCTGCGTTTCTTGTTCCAAAGTGCGGCCTACTTGAAGTGTGTCATTTCCAACTGTGATGGCGCTCAAAGTGGCTTGCCAAAAAGAATCATTCTCCTTGTTCTTCTCCCCATCACCCTCCCCCTCACTTTTGTGTTCCGCTCTCCTACTCATTTTCTCCTCTCTCCCCCTCTGAGCGCCGCCTTGTCGCTTCGTCGCACCATCACCACTGGCATCGAAATCAAACAAAACTGCCAGATTGGATTTGAAGCTTGCTTGTTTGTTCCATTTATTTCCCCCTTTACCATCTCAATCGGCGCTTTTTCACTCACCCCTTTCCAACACATGCACACACAAGTGAAAGGATTCCTTTCTCCTTTCCACCGTCTGGACAAAGAATGTGGCTGGTTGTTTTTTCAGTCGGCTTATAAGTAACCAAAAGCAAGTGTCGCCCACTTCTTTATTGTTTTGTTCCCCCGCTTTTTCCACCACTTTGCTACTCCTGCAGCCATTGCTGAGAGACATTCACAAGACCACCACCGCTACCATTTTTTGAGCTACCGAGGGGGCTGGGGGAATGGGGGCAGTCACTTACCGATGGTGTTGTTACTCTCACCTCTTTGGTTGTGGGCTTCCCCTTTACTTTCTTTACAGTTAGTACCATGACAAAGAAAATAGACGAGGAATTGTTTGTATTCGTCCAGTATTGTGTTTTATGCTCTGGAGACTGGATTTTTTTTCCCCCCCCCCCCCACGCCTCCACCCCCGACCCCTCTAAGCCCATCAGCAAAGCCACGTAAACACTAGCCATTCTTCTCACCTATTTTGAGTAAATTCTGGAAGCAGAATCAGTCCAAGTAGAAATTTTTTGTATCAGATCTGTCAAGCAATGACTCACCTGTCAATACTCATTGATTGATCGATTAGTGGGGAATATTCAAACACCCAGAGCTTCGAGTGCATCAATTTAGCCGTCATTTTTTTTCCTCTTACCGTAATTCCTAACCAATTTGTGCAAATTTGAAAAAAAATCAGTCCATGTGTGATTCCCTTTTCAATGAAACATAATTTGCATGTCAAATTTGTCAAGTGATGAGCCATTTCCACACCCTCGTGGGGTCTGCCGATCGATTGATGAGGAACGACACCACACCTTACAATTTAGGTGTCATTTTTTTTTCACCTCTTTTTTAATTTTCTACCCAATGCATGCAAATTCAAAGTAAAGCGAATAATTCGACTTGATTGCGCTGAATTGGTGCATGAATAATGCACGTCAATTCGCCGACTTTCCACCCGTCTGTCAACCTCGTGTCCGTGCAAACCTTTTCTCTTCGCCCCTCTTTGCTTTGTTTTGTTTTGGTCTAATCGAAACTCGGCATCTGGAGGTGTCAATCACCAAGTGTTTGTCTCTCATGGGAGGGTGCGAGGCGCTGGCACAGCGATGATGATGACAAATGGCTGTTAATTTATGCCTGCTCCGTGCATCGCTCTCGGGCCGTGATTGTTGCGCGCCACGTGAGGAGGAGTGAGGTAGGTATGGTCAGTGCTTCCGGAATAGTCGTTTAGTCTTTAGATCACGGCTTACTGGACTTAACTCAGTGCAGTTTGGTCCTTTTAGCTAAACGTCACGATGTCCACAACTTCAAAATGTGATGATCATGTCCACAACCGGAAGTAGGCACCAACGACTATCTTTCATTACCCATCCTTCCTCACTTACACCGTAGCCAACATTTGGGATGGATGTAAAAATACAATAATGAAGAATTGTTAGCAGTTTACCAGTTGATAGGTTTGTTTTCCATCGCTACGAGAGATCTGGACAGGCGATTCAGTGCAGCAGCTTGACTTGAGGGTGATTGCCCTGGCAATGGACATGTGTCTTTTGAGGTGTCTGGATTTGAGGTCTGTCGAATCAACCTGTTGGTGGAGCGCACATACACCACAGCCTCGTCAAATCACCGTCTGGAAGTTGAGATAGGTTTCGGCTTATTTGATTGGTCAACTGGTCAGAGGTGACAAACCAATCAGGAAAGGGTTTGCAGCAGGCAAATATCGATCTTCGCTGCCTCCTTGATTCACCAAGAGATATTTAATTTCTGCTTAGAACATGTAACAGAACATTCTAAAGTACGTTTCCCTATACATAAATAAGTATAGCTCCTCAACACACCAAAGGAAGTAAGATTGAAGAATCTGGGGATGGAAGGGTGTAGGATGGATCCCAGATCCATGTTCCGGAACCAGCCAAAAAACTCAAGATCGGATTCAATCTGCTAATTAAAGACAGAAGCTTTATAACTAGTGGTAATGTGGCGCCTCGAGTATTCCCTAATTTAGTAAGAAGTCACGGTTGGAGGAGGGGGCTGCTTACACCGCCCAGAGGCCATACCACAGGGCGAAAGCACAATCTACGGATACTTTACCACCCACGAAATCAAACGCAGAGTTCAACAAACCATTAACACGCTGCGGCGACAAGAAGTTTTGGCGTCTGCCATAGGATGAGCATTCGTGTGGCCTCTTCCGTTTCTCACTTTTATTCCCGAAAACTTGGGGGTGTAATAACGCTTGCCCAAAGAAGAAGTACCACCGAATGGTCGACTTCTCTCAGACTATGATGATATGAGCTTTTAAAGGGTATGCTCAACTGTGTCGCCTAAATAAACGATGGCAACAACTGTTGATCCGTTTTATTTTAACCCACTTTGCTGTGGTCCGATTGGTGAATGGAGATAGAACCACCTGTCGCGTGGAGTAAGTTAGGATTCCTCCAGCAGGGCATGATTAGCCGTTGATGAATCATTTGTAAAGAGGGATTAGGCTCACCTCTCCCCCCAAAGACCGTATTGCCCACTGCTTCACGGTCAATTTGGGGGCGAAACGTTGTGTTAAAACACTAAATAACCCATCCACCAATCAAAAAAGGGTAAAAGCAAACCCAGTTTTACATTGCCTTAACAAGAGCCATCCTGGTAAATTATTTTATAAAATAAACCTCTCAAGTAAGTTTTGGATGGGTCGGACCACCGATACCATACAGGCAGGGATCTGGAG